AAAAAAAAAAAAAAAAAAAAAAGTACTCAATCCCAACTGTGTAAACTACAAACCACACTTCCACAACTCACAACATACCTTTCAGAAGTTGTTCTTTGTCCTTAACATACTGCCATTTTGCTTTCAGTGACTCTTCCACATCATCCCTAGTTACAACCTCCTTTTCGTCTTTTTCTTTCTCCACTTCTTCTATTTGTCTTAGTATGCGCCTGATGTGTGCCTGCTGTTCTTCCTTCAGAAGGTCATTCTATGAAAGAACAGAAGAAAAGGCATGTTTTAAAACATTTTCAAATTAGTTTTCAAAGTGACAAACTTAAGTAATGAAGAAAAGTAAAATCTGACCTAGTGCCAGGATGCACTGCAAAAACACTCAGCTAAACACCTATTCTTCATATTCAAAAAGGATGGAGCGGAAGGGAGAATTTGCAAGTCTCAGAAGTTTCTCAGTAACTTCAAGACCATTACAAGGAAATGAGAGACAAATGACTGATGTACTTGGTGCAGCACATCAATAGTCCTCCATTGCCTGGAAAGAAAGCTCCCTGTGGGTCAATTTAGTAACAATATTTATTTGTAGGAGTTATTTACTTCACGTCAACATTCTTCATGACAATGTACCACTTTCATGCAGAAATGTCATCAGACAATCAATCAGGTCACTTGCATATAACCACACCAGAGAGCCTTGTCAGAGCTGGAATTACTTATACCTACTGATTCCACAACTGTGATTATTACCCCTTGCCATGACCCTCTCAAGTGACACTCGAGTTATTTGAAATGACTGATTGCGTATGTTTGCTCCCAAAGGATACCATACCGGAGCAAGTAGCCATACCAGCCAAACTGTAACAGTAACTATGCAGTACAGAGAGTCTCAAGCATTCCTCATTTCTAGAAGGATTAACTCTAAACCACTTGGAAACATTAGGCAGCACACAAAGAATGGAGCTCAAAGAACGGAGCTCAAAGAACTGTCAAAACATGGGTAAATTAAACAAATAGCACTTTAAGCAGGCCCTGAAGTACCTTGCACAGTCTAAAACATGAAGGAGTCCTTGAGAGACCATGAACTAGCAGCAAATTGGGGAAACAACCGTTAAGAGACTTCAGATGCCTGCAGAGAGAAGAGCCAAATGCCACTTCCACTGATAGTTAAGGCCACAAATGAAAGACCGTCCAGGCTTCAAGACTGAAAGGAACACCAAGGAAAGCTAAACAGATGGATACTTATAAGAGCAGGGCAAGTATCAGGCACGGGCAGGACAAAGAGACATTGTTTGTCTCAATGTTTAACTGCTATAGCAAGTGCAGGCTACGGCATTGTTTAATCACAACCCAGTTTAAGGATTTTTGAGTGATTTGAATTCATCAGGTGACTGTATATATATCCACTTTCCAAGTTCACTGCTCTCAGTCATCAGATGCCATATTACGATTCCTTATATACAGTTCTTTATATACAGTTCATATATACGGTTCTTTAAAGTGTCACTCAGGTGCGATCAGTAGTTACACAACCTTGTTCTAAAAATGATCCAACACAACTCTTCATATACAAGAAAGCGAGTCTTCACCAAGCAGTGCTAAAAATTGCATCTAGGCAATTGTGTGATACTATTTCTTCTTTGTTCAGTTTTCATTGTAAATAAGTTTGCAAGAAAACTAAACTCTCATAGAAACCTGTGCAATTCCATTACCTCAGAAGTGAACCAAAGAAGGTCAGCAAATCTCAATACTTGGTTAGATCTGCTAATACTACTGACAAAAATGAAGGTAATACCGTTTATTCTTTGGGCACTGAAATATTGAGGAATATTTGCAGGATTGTTTAAAAAGGCACATCTGAATGTACTGCAGTAAAGCTACCTACTGAAAGGGGGCTTGCTGTCCTATGTTTGCAGCAGAGTAAGATTAAATACTTAGGTGGTTACAGAGGATCTCATATGCATTGGAAAATACCTTCACTGAACTCACTTTACCTTACTGCTCTGTCCTACTCTGCAATGTTCTACTCCTGCAGCTCCTTTTTTGCATGGTTATATTTAGGACATTTATGCTTTATGTCACATTTAATTCAGATAACACTTTAACGTTTAGCACATAAAGTGACTCACTAACTCGAGTTTCATTGACTGTAAGCAATTCACTGCAATGACTAGTTTTAGTCAATGTAGTATTAGGATTAAAAGACTAAAATTGAATCTGTAAGCTAAAAAACCACACATAAAATGTGTTAGAGAAGGATGCATGGTCACTTACTCTTTCATGATATTCTTTGTTCTTTTTTTCTACTTGTTTCAGATCAAACAAAACTCGATCAATTCTTGCTTCTTTTGTCTCAATTCTGTGGAGAAAGAGTAAAGAAAGAGACAGTCTTACAAAAACAGAAGACAGAGGAATGTTATTTAAGCTAGATTAGATGTAAATACTACTGAAGTGTTTATTTTCGTGTCACATTGCTTGACTCGTTTGGGTAGATACCACTGTCCGCTTACTATACATAAAGAAATGATTTCCCATATACATCTGGGCCTTCATGTTCGTTCGGATCTGAGAAACAGACTCCCTGATTATACTGTTCCTTTGTAACCACTAGAGAGGATTAAGCTGGTTTATTCTTTCTGGATGTGGTATAGCTGACCTATTGCACAGGTCTCTTTTAGGGCAAGATTATTTGTGCTCCAGAAATATTTATTACTCACCACTCGCTATAGAGGAAGCCTAGGCAACTCACTGAGACGTAGGTGAATCCCAAACTGGAGAATTAAATGGGATTCGATTCTTCTGAAAATGTGGTTTGCTGAGCTTCATAAACTGCGTTTGTACACAAAGAACTTGTTAGCCTTTAAGAAGCGCTACAGGAATAGGGACTGCAGCCCGAGTAGTATCCTCTAAGTATGTTTATACATTTTTGTCAAAGAACTAGCTCACTGCTTTCACAATTTTCATAGACTACTTGTCATCCTCTTTGCCACAGCTGTAAAATAGGTATTTTTTTCTGGTGTTCTCTCTTCTAGAACGAGAAACACTGGATTGCAAATGGTGTCTATTTGCAAAATTCTCTGTAATCTTCCCCTCTGTTCCCGGAATTCATTCGCCATATGGCACAATAGAGGCAAGTATTACAATTATCACAATATCTTTTACTGTTTCAACAGCTATTGTTCCCTGAGTTTTTGTTTTGGGGTTTCTTTTGCCCCTCCCTATTGTATTAGGTTGTTTTAAAAGAAGATCATTTTTTCCTGGCTAAGTTTGGACCACTCAGTCATGCAAATTGCAGGTTACTAGTTTTGCGTCCTCTGGTGTCAGTGTGCTCCAAGGTATTCTTCAGGTTTTCCGTTAAGTAGAAGGGTATTAGTTAGAGAGACCAGAACAGAGATATGGGGGTATGGTGGTGACGGCTACAGCAAAAATATACCACTTATTAGACAGAGGTGACAGCTTGGCCACACAGCGTGACCTCCTAAATTACCTGCCATTTAAAACCATTTCTATATTTTGAATGCTGATCTTAATTTCTGCTACTTTAAGATTTTCCATGAAGTGGCAGTCTATATCCATCACTTTGTTAATGTCAAGAATTTATATGAGTAGAATTTGCTATTTTGTCTGCTACATATTGGAACTTTCCTCTTTAGATTCTTTTTCTATGGTATTTGTCAGATTAAAGCTACAAAACAGCTAGACTGATGGTTCCTTTGATACTGTTTTTCTCAACTCTGTATACTAGGTTTCATCTAGATCATTTAATCATCTAGAAACAACACTCCTCTCCAGTACCATGACAATTTCGTCAGTGATCTATAGGATGTTACTAGGGCAAGTAATTCACGGGATTGTTGTTCCTAACCAATTCTGAAACAGACAACTGTACTGAAAATACAAAATAACAAACTCACCATGAACAGCAACCATTCTTCAATATACATGGCATGGAAGTTAAAGAAATACTACACACTTGATAAATCCTAAAGCGGAACGTGACAGATACTCACTTGTATGATTATGCTGCTTTGTTCAATCAAGTGGCACACAGAAGTTATAGATTACAGAGGTGAAGAGAGAGAGGGAAAGGGAGAGCAAGAGGGAAAGTGGAGAGAGGGAGAAAGATAAAGACAGAAAGAAAAATACTTTTCTTCCCTTTTTCCCCTGCTGTTGCTGTAGAAACTAAATATCCTGTGTCAGTATAGCACCCATTTCAGTGGAAGACTCTTCAGACAAATGAGTCATTTGCTTGGATATTTGAATATGCATCACAGTGATTTTATCAGAAAGTGGTGCATTTTTTTTCCTCAGCCTAGTAATACAGTTTGCTTATTTCTTAGCAAAATAGAGGGGTTGGATTGTTGACTTTTTGGATGGTGTTTATTTGTGATATGATTCGGTTAAATCTGGTCTGGTTTACTATGGAAACTTGTACTCTGTTCTTTGTAAAATGGAACAGAAAATCCCACATAAACCCTGTAAACTGCTATAGGTGTCACTAGAACTATATGTGGTTGCTCTTCAGTTTGCTTACCCCGCTTTTCATTTCTACACCAAGGCACTACTCCTTGCTCCCTAAACGCTGATAATTGTTGAATATTGGATGCTGTTGAGGTCTTTCCCTTTCAACTTCTGTCTCTTTGACAAAAGTCACAGAGCTTAATTTTTCTCCTTTTAATCATCTACTCAAGAGACTGGTGATCAAAAAAATTGGACTATTTTGTAACTACTTCAGATATTCCTCTCTTCGCTCTTATTTTTCTCTGCTTGATTTTAAGAGACCTTTAAGTTATCCCTCCATTATTTTAAAAATAAAACACTTTCCTTTGTGCTCCACTCTCAGCTGCAACAAGGAAGCAAACTGTAGGTCTTGAGGTTCTGGCTAGTGACTACATGCCTCTCTGAACACCAAGGAATCCTAAAAAATACAATCAAATGCGATCTTGCAACTTCAGAGTATGCTGATCAAAAGCTTGCTACTAACAGACAAAAATGTGGGGTTGTTTTGTTTTTAATAAAACTCTTTTTCCCAAGTTATAACCTAACAGCATAAAACTATTTCTGACTCACTTCAATGCTTTCTTACAGGTATAGTTTAAAAAGTGCATATTTCCAAAATAGCCTTGAAAACCCAAAACAAGAACACAAAAGAACAGTACACAACTGTCAGAGTCAATTGGCTCAGGCTCTGAATTGGATAAGGTGTCTTTGTTATCTGCTTTATCCATTCACGTATTCTATATGAGTGGAAAGTTAAATATATTAAACCTACTGAAATTCTAGTAAGGCTTCTGGGAAAGCTGACTCAGGTTCTGTAAGTTGTTCTTCTGGTTTCTCCTCTTTCTTCTTCTCTTCCATGCTTTTTGTTGTACTTGTGCTAGAAGTTAGATCTAAAGGGAGGAAAGGGCAAGCAGAAAACAAGAAAAAAAAAAAAAGAGAAAGGAATGATTTGCAAAACGTCAAATGTTCACCAGCCTTTGTCACCTGTGACAAGTTCTTACCAGTTCTGAAATACACAAACCAAGATGTTTTGTTGACAACAATAATCGTGCCCAGGGCAGCGCTCGGGCCCATGTTTTTGGGACACCCTGAAGTGTTGTCCTGCGTAAGATATGTTTGTGAACAGCGGCCTCTATCACTAGCTACTTACTGCATCCCTTCCTGTGGGCTGTGTTTTACGTTCTGGCAAATCAAACAAGCAGTTGTTTCTTTTCCAGTCCTTTGTCTCCGTTTCTTTATCAGGCCTGTTTTATCCAGTCCACTTGTTAATATG